GCCTCACCCAAATAAATGTGGGGAGGATGGAGCAAGGCCTGGGGGAGGGGCAGGAGCAGAACTGTCTCACTCTCACCTCACAGGGCTGGACAGACACGGAGGCAGCCGCTATGTGGGGGGCTGCCCAGCAGGTGAGTGGCCCGCCCCCCTGCAGTCAGGGCCTGGAGGACGTGGAAACCAAGGCCCCTCCCAAGTCCCAGGGACATGAAGCAGAGGATCCCAGGAAGGTGACTGGAGACAAGGGGCAAGGAGCCCAGGGGGTGGCCAGGAGAGCGGGGTTGTCCTCGGTCCCCCCAGCTTTCCCTTGCCCGCCTGGTGGGCCTGGGAGTCTAAGACTGCCAGAGGCTCTGAGCAGGCCTGAGGGTGTCTGTGACTGTGATTGACACACCAGGCAGCCGTGCCGGTGGCCTCTGTGCTGGGACAGATGCACCCATGAGCGCTCGTGTGTGCGACCTGTGCTCGCACATGCTGTCCCTGCGACACACAGGAGCGGAGCGCTCCCTGACGCGTCTCTCTAAGCTCTGCGTGTCACCAGGTGTGGGTGGTGCGCACCTGTGTAGCTGGAGGCTGGGCGTACCTGGGTGAGGGGTGCGTGCCGTGTGTGTGCTCGCTGCCAGTGCCCTGCGACCAGGGTGTCACCCAGAATACTGTGGCTATTAAAAGAAAGCCAGCTGTCGCCCAAGTGCCTATGGAACGGAATGCCGATGGCGATTAGAGAAGGCCGTGTTCTGGAACATGGAAATGCCCCGCGCACAGGCCCTGAGGCTGCCCTCCCCCACCCCTGTCCTTCACTCCCACCCCAGCTTCTGGGCTTTCTTGAGCTTCCCTAGCAAGGCCAAGACCACAGGCACTTTTCTGCCATCCTTCTCCAAGGCTGCCTCCTGCATGTCCCAGAGAGGGGAGCCCTGGGCTGCCCCTACAGTTGGAGCCTCTGCCCCTTCCAACTTCAGTGTCTCAGGGAGCACCGCTCCCCAATGCTCAGCCCCAGGAGGACTCACTCCCCAGCCCTGAGCCCCCTGCATTGTGCACAGGCGTAGGAGCCGAACAGGGGCATGGCTGCGCCCCGGCTTGGGGGGCGATGACAAAAGGCACAGTGCCTGGCCTGGGGGCACACCGGGCTGGGAAAAGAGGGTGGCCCATCGGCAGGCTCCTAACCGGTGCCAAGCACTGCCACTGAGGATCAGCACACGGTGTGGGAGCAGAGGCCAGGCCCCAAGGGTCCCAGGGAGGTGGAGGTGCAGGGGGGGTTGCCAGGCAGAGTGGGGGAGCGAGGGTCCAGGCTGAGGGAACAGCCGTGCGAATGAGGGGGCCCAGGGGCACTCCGGGTCCTGGGACAGAATGTTGCCCTGTGACCTCAGAAGCAGCCAAAGGGCCCTGGGAGCTGGGGGGAGGGCTAGGAGAGGGCAGGAGGTGGCAGGAGCCTTGGGAAAGCCACTCAAGTGCTGGCCAGAGGGCTCTCCAGGCCCGGTGCTGCGGGCGGACCCTGGGAGGATGTGGCCCTGCCGGCCTCTGTGTGCCCGCAAGGACAGGTTGGAGGAGTGAGCTGCGGCAGAGGCCCGGAGGAAGCGGTGCTGTAGGGTAGCAGGACTGAGGTGTGGAGGAGCGGGGGGAGGAGGGGCCGCAGCACAGGGAGAGAAATGAGGGCAGTGGCGAAATGGACAGTGGGGTGGAGGGACCTCAGTCCAGACCTAGGAGCCCGGGGACCTGGGGGTCCCTGCAGGCACCTAGACACTCTGGCTCCATCTCTCCGGCCACGTGGCCCGTCTCAGAGTAGGCCCACCCTGACCCAGGACAGCCTGCCCTCAGGCACTGTCCCTCACTGCAGAGGGCCACCGGAGGCTGCTCCCACGGGCGGGGGAGGGGGGTGGGGGAGGGAGACAGTCCTGGGCTAACAGATGTGTGCTGCTTGTTTTTCAGACCAAGGGGCTGCTCCCTAGCCCGGACCCCAGGCTGTAGGGTTCCCTTGGCTCTCCTTTTCCTCTGGGACACGTCCAGCCCCTCGAGGCCCCTCACACAGACCCAGGATCAGCCCATGAACTGTGGGCTTTGGAGTGGCCCTGTCACCACGGTGTGCTGGATTCACATCCTAAAACACAAAACTTCTGCCACGCAAAGTGGTCTGCACCCACTTCTCATCTGGGCAGCCTGCTCCCCAGGCTCAGCCTGAGGAGTGGGGCCAGGCCTCCTGCTTCCGGGCAGCTGCTCCCCGCAAGTGCCGTGTGTGACTGTCCTGTCGGAGCAAGGCCGTGGCGATGCTCCATGGGGCTCACCATGGGCTGCCCCTGCCCGGCTGGGCGTTTCGCAGGCCCGGAGGGCCGGCACACGCCTCCCTCCACCGCGAGAGCCTGTTCCTCACCTTGGCTTCTCCCTGCAGCGCTGCCTGCACTGTGCCCATGCTTGTGCGCACGTTCCTTGTCGGGCACATACCCGCATGCACTGAGCACGTGTGCGCACGCACTGCACCTGTGATTTCTTTTACTAGTAGATCAGTGGCCTTCGTCCCAGGCTGTGCAGCTCAGACAGGGTAGAGGAAAATAAAAAGCAGCAGTCTCGACAAACTTGGTCTCTATCTGTTGATGCCAAAATGGGCGAGAAACTGCCGGCCTGAAGAGTGTGGGCCCACAGCAGTTTCTCTTCCTCCCTCCCCTCTTTTCCCCACCTTGTGACTCTCTCCCGAGGCTCCTGTCTCAAACTATGAGGGGACAGAGTGGAGAAGGGACAAAGATCAGGCTTGCCCTCACCCCACTACCCAGCGAGCTGCTGTTACCAGAAGCGGCTCCCACCCAGCCTGTGGGTACCAGCTGCTCAATGGCTGTCTTGGGTCTCCCGGGGGAGGCAGGTGGCGGGGAGGGGCTGGCCTTTACCTTTAAGAGCATCCTTCCTACTAGCCCTCCCTTTCCCCAGGGCAGCATCAGGCAGGTCCCCAAGTCCAGAGAAGAGCCTGTATCTCCAGGTACAGCCTGGCCCGTGGCTCCCCCTCCTCCCCTTCCTGCCTTATCCCACACTGTTCATGCTGCTGGGTCCTCTCCATCCTGGAAGGACAGGCCTCCCTAGGAAAGGGGATAGGGCTGGAGTCAGGATGGAGGGATGGGGCGTGGGGGAAGGGCAGGGGCTGGTATGGGGCCGGGAGGGAAGGGGCGCTCCCAGCTGCTGGCCTCCTGCCAGGCACAGCAGGGAGAACAGGCTGGGCTACATGACACAGGGCAGAGGAGGTGGTAACGTGGAGGAAGGAACACAGTCCCTCCTTGGCTTCTTCCAAGTGACAGTTTTGTGATCTTGGGCCAGCTGCCAAATGCTGCTGTGATATGGGGACTCCTTGCACCGGCACGTTGTCTGCGCCAGGCCAAGGCCCGAGGCGGGTGCTGGCAACGGGGAATCACTTGCTCACACCCAGGCCTGCACTCAATGCTTGGGGCCCAGCCCAGGCCAGAGCCCTGCGGGAAGGCCAGGGCACAGCTGAGCCAGTTGCCTTCCCCGAGCCTCAGTTTCCCCAGCCAGGGGCCAGGGTGAGCTTTGATCTCTCTCCAGACAGCCCAGGGCCTGAGGTCTCTTCTGGGGTAAGGCTTCTGAAGGTGTCCTGGCCCAAAGGCCACACTGGCAGGAGTCCCGAGGGTCCTAGGCCCTCCCAGAACATGCTGTCTCGGGGTTGTGGGCTGAACACACTGAACACGCTGCCCTCCCTGCCCCCCTGGCCCCATGGCCCAGCAGCTGAGCAAATGGCATCTCTCCTCCTCCCTGCCCCCTGCCATTCCAGCGCAAAGGGCACAGGCCTGACGTGCCTGCTGGCAGCTGAAGCTTTCCATACTGCTGTCAGGTTTTCCAGCGCAAGTGAGCCAGGAGGGCCAGGAATAACCCCTGGCCCCGAGGGTCTGGGGGTGTGAGCCTGTCCGGGGCCTGCGTTCAGGCCCTGTGCCCAGGGGTGCCGGCCAGACCTCCCCCCACCCCCCACCCGCAGTCTGGGCATTGGGAGGCACCTGTGGCCACTGGGAGCTCGTTTCTGGCCCGAGTCCCGTGGGAATTAGCCCAGGCTCCAGGGCGGCCGAGTCCTCTCCCTGCGTGACCTTGGGACAGGCACTCACCTCTCGGGTCTGAGGGGATGAGCTTGTGAAGGGCCTGGATCTGAGCTCAGCCATGCCCACAGCTGCTGCTGTTAGGATGAGCTTTTGTTGTTAATCCTCACCCAAGGGTATTTTTTCCACTGATTTTTAAAG